GAGTTATGCAATACCTATTTAACATTGTAAGCTATGCATATTTCTAAATATAAACTTAGTCTAAACAAACGTTGATATCAAAATAAATATATAATAATAAATCCGTCATAAACATTATTAGAAATATGACAAATTATTTGAGGATTTTAAGTAGAAAATATCCACACCACATGCGCGCACATGTGCATATTTTGGTACATGTGCATACAGGTGCCTATTTTGGTAAATGCACGGGCGGGAACGAATTTTGGTACATGCGCGCGCAAATGCGTAATTTGGTACATGTGCGAGCAGTTGCCTATTTCTGTACATGCACACGCATGTGCTTATTTTGGTACATGCACGCGCATGTGCACATTTGGGTACACACGCATGCAGGTGCTTATTTTAGTACATGCGCGCACAGGTGCCTATTTTCGTACATGCGCACGCAAGTGTATATTTTGGTACATGTGTGCCCAGGTGCGTATTTTGGTAGATGCGTATGCAGGTGTCTATTTGGTACATGCGCGCGCATGTGCATATTTTGGTACACACACGCGCAGGGGCCTATTTTCGTACATGCCCACGCAGGTGTGTATTTCGGTACATGTATGCACAGGTGTCTATTTGGTACATGCGTGCACAGGTGCTTATTTTGGTACATACATGTGCATATTTTGGTACACACGCGCGCAGGTGCCTATTTTCATACATGCGCACGCAGGTGTGTATTTTGATACATGTGTGCGCAGGTGCGAAATTCGGTACATGCACGCGCATGTGCCTATTTTGGTAAATGCGCGCGCATGTTCTTATTTTGGTACATGCGCACACATGTGTGTATTTTGGTTCTTCAAAGATTGTGCATCTGAACATCATAGTTGCTATGTAAAAGTCTCCAAAATTAAAAAATTGTATCATAAGAAAACAGCGAATTGGAGTTTATGCAAAGTTCTGTTCATACACATTGTATAGGTCATCACGACTGATTCTTCTTTTCAGATTTTCAAATTTTAGTTTGTTTCTGACTTGTTCTGTGTTCTCTGGTACATTTACTTTCATATGCCAACCAATCACATAGGTTTGTGCTACGCTTTTCTTGTAAATGTCGCTAGGAGTTTGAATCTTACAGGTTCCAGTTCCTTTTAGCACTGATTGTATTGTTCTCACATGGTTTCTGCTGGGTCATCTCTTGATATTGCCATGGGACACGTCTTTTTCATATGTGTCACAAGATCCAAAATATTGCACCAGTACCATTGGTATACTTTCATTCGACATTTGATACCCATATAGATGCAAATGGACTGGCTTTTGGTTAATTGTTCTTTGATGGTATGTCTTGACCAACACTGAAATTTTTCGAGGAATTAGTTGCTTTCCTTTGTGGTTCAACCTGTACTGATCAGCAAGACAATTATCTCATGCATTTGGTCTTCCTTCATTGTTGAAGAGGTAAATGTGAACATGCTTCGGTTAGCTGCTGTAGGCCTCAAAACCCTGTCTTTGTTTGGATTTTGCAGTATAGTAAATGCCTGATCAATGGTAAGTGGTGTTCCATTTACTTCATAGACAATCACACTAGCCATAAATATCAAGCACTGGAACGTAGGCGCCATCAATAGTGTTCAGCAAGCTTTAGATTCAGTATGGCACGAAGGGATTAGATACAAGTTAGCAAATTCCAAAACCCATAATATCTATTTCACAGTTTTTCTGATTTCTTAACCTAACCAGTCTCTAAAGATAAAAGGCAATAGTATGCTCGTTATCTGGAGTGTCTCATGGCTCTGTTATCAGTCCACTCTACATCTTGTTTGTCAATAATCTAAATATGGAAAACGAAATACATTCACAAACACACAAGCTTTCCAGTTCTTGACTCACATACATCAAAAAGTTCAATACAAACAGTAACAGTCAAACCGCTCAAAACTAAATTCATAATTTGCTGAACAAAACTACAAAAACACCTAAAAGAAGCAAAAAGGTTCACATAAACATATAAAACAACAAAATAAAAGCCACAGAAACTGCAAAATTCCTGGGCATCATGTATACCTCAAAACCCAAATGAAACAAATAAATAAAAAAAAATGTCACAGCTAAAGCCATATCACGAATAAATAACCTAAAAACTTTAAACACACTTTATACCAAAATAAAACTATCCGTATACAAAACATTTGTGCGTACACACCGTACACCAATAGACTAAGGTTTTGTGACTCTACTAAACACATCGAACTGAAACTACCTTAATCTACAAAGAATACGAAAAAACCAATTGGATTAATCACTAAACTACCTGGATACACCACAGAGAACTCCACAGAACAACTAAACTACCAAATATCAAGCATATATTATTCACCCTAGGAAAGATTACTTCAAAAAACAGAATCACTAACTTCTTCCTTCCATCTACTTAATATTACTCCTCCTGGTCGCAAAGAATCCTATCACCATATGAGTTATATCATCAACAACAATGGCGTGTTCAAGAAACTGTGTTTTCTAAGTGAGAAAAGTGGTAACCACATTCTAGATATAGTGCCAACTGCAGAAGTGAGAAAATATCTAGTCCTAAGTGATGCTACCTAGGGGTATCTACAACCATAAATGACTATAACAGACAGATGTTATACAAAGAAAGGGTACTACCCTCTGCCTTGAACGTGAGTTACCACCAAGTATAAAAAATCCAAAATCATACATTACTGAAAAACATCAACATCAAGTAGAATCCACAGCCGAAAGTATCCAGAAACTAATATTCAAAAAGAACCCCCTAATATTAAACTGGAGCAGAAAGGAAATAAAGCAATACAATTGATGCAAAAAATAACCCTCATCAAAGCTCTCCTCGTCATCACCTTCGTCTCTATACATGTGTCTCTTTACACCCGAAATTAAATCTCAGTCAAGACTACCCATCTTACCTCCGTATTTTAAACTATAAAACCTCTCCTGTATCAAAGTATCGCTTTACCACAACAGAGTTTGAGTCTCTACATTTAACATCATAATTCCACAAGTTTATAAGTGATATATCAAGGTGGTAAATGCTCCATTTTCATTACTTTTTAAAAGCATAATGGTTTTATTTGAGAATAAGTAATGCTATTTAAAACAAACACGAATTACTAAAGCAAGTGTTACATTTTTCTCTGCTTCCTGAGAAAATGTTTCATAATACTATGGGGAAGAAGAAGTTTGTTTGTTTGTTTGTTTGTTATGGATTTCGCGCAAAGCAACACAAGGGCTATCCGCGCTAACCGTCCCTAATTTAGCAGTATAAGACTAGAGGGAAGGAAGCTAGTCATCACCACCCACTGTCAAATGTTGGGCTACTCTTTCACAAACGAATAGTGAAATTGACCATCACATTATAACGCCCCCACAGCTAAAAGGACAAGCATGTTTGGT